GAAAATGGTGGGTCTTTTACAAGGGTCAGGGTGAAGTTCTCTTGTGTTGAAAGTATATGTTCCTAACAAAACATTTCCTTCCTTCCATTGTCTGAATGTTTTCTCCACTCTCACAACCTCAGGCAAAACCATGTTGTTCTGGAACACTTGAACAGCATAGCCCCATGAAACTGAAACTGTCCATGACAACCTCTTCTCGTAACAAACTGTTTGTTGCAGGATCCTCTCGGAATCGACACGAACAGCTTCAAATAAATGTTGCAGTGATTTTTTGGTTGACAAGTTGGGAAAGATAGGATCAGTGTGATCTGGGTGATGTAAGGACAATAAGGGAGTTAACGGATGAGAAGCCAAAAGGCCAAAGATATTTCCCCGCAAATCGACCTAATCCAATTCCATAATCACATATGGAGGACTAATTAGAAGCACAATGAAGAAAAGAAAATCACCAACAATATTTAGCACTTCAATCTAGAGTTCAATATAGCATTTCAACCTAGTTACCTGATGAAAACCTGGTTCATGTGTTAGTCCCACACCTAGTTCAGTTATGCAAGAGTAGATCCTAGCATCGCTTCCATACAGATGTGGATACCTTTGTATGCATGAATCAAGAACCTTGGCTAGGACTTGTGCCAGGGAGGAACTGATGGCAAAACCACCTCCACCAAAGGCCATTCCAAAACCAAAAACCTGAGTGCCCTCATAAATCTCTGAGTAGGACCCAACATAGTACCAAAGCCTGTGATCATATTTGGAAAGAGTTTTGAGCAGATTGTGAGGGAAGAAAATGGTGTCATCATCCCCAAACACATACCATCTGACACCAGAATGGTTCAATGCCACAGTCTCTTTCACAACACGTGCCACACGGATTGCTGATCTTAGACCTCCAGGCTTGTAAGTGTAGAGAAACTGGGAAGTGTCTTCAGAGACACAAAGGGGAGGAAGAGAAGCATCATTGTTGAGATTTTCTTCATGTGGGAGGGTATCTACGAAAACACATCCTCTCATTGTTTTATTGGGATTCAAATTCCACCACATCCTGCTGTATTCCTTTCTCTTAGGCCAGGAATTCCCACTTGAAGCAATTCCAAACACAAGTTGATCAACAGTGGTAGGTTCATACACATATTGTAGTGAAGAATGCACGTCTATTATCTTTGGTGTGGCTAATAGTAACATGGATACACAGAGAGAAATGACAAAAACTGAAGAGAAGACTAAAATGAATTTCATCAGAGTAGGTTTGGTTTTGATAGGACTGAGAAGTGACCTTTTCATGATTAAGGAGGGAGCTAGATGAAGTTGTGCTGATGCAGAGAAAAGTAGCATTATTTCATAGATAAAAGTTTCAATTATTTAATATTTAACTAAACAAAGCGTTACACCATAATCGCTGAATATTATAAGAAAACTTGAAAAATGGAAATAAAGTTTTAATACTACTTCTCTCCATGTGTATTCCATGGGATTGGTTTGTAAGAAGGTGAATAGATTGAAGTCAACCATTGGGGATGGCTACTTTTTCAATCCTTGCGCCGTACTCCTCCTTCAATTAATGCATTTGAATGCACATAACACCGTGATTGTTACTTCACATTCACCACCTTTTCTTAGATTGCAAGCCCAGATTTTCCCTTTCCTCCCCAAGGGGAGTTGTTTTTTTGAAATTTTCTCAATGAAAGCTCCATTTTGGAGTAATTCTAGTTGCTTAGAATTATTATAAGCATAGAAATATGGATGCTGATCTTACAATCCTAATCAAGTCTTTGATTACTGGCTATTCGAGTAATTTTTTTATTGGACTGCACATACATAAATTGGCTTATTTTAAATCCGTAAAAGCCAGAACAAAACTGATACAATTTGTGATAAGAAAAGACAAAGTCTGAATAAAAAGAGAATAAAGATAGTAAACTACAATTACTAGTGGGTTTTAAGCCTAACTCAACCCCACAAAACCAGCTTATAAGGTGAGGTTTGCATCCACTTATAAACTAAGAATTGACCTTATCCCTAGTCGATGTGGGACTTCCAACACACCCCCTTCATGCCGAGGTATAGACATCTCGTGCGTGAGCTATCGGGCCGTTATTGGACCACCCAATTTCTACTATCACGCACGAGATGTCTATACCTCGGCGTGAAGGGGGTGTGTTGGAAGTTCCACATCGACTAGAGATATAGCCAAATTATAATATATAAGTGAGGTGCAAACCTCACCCTACAAACCGGTTTTGTGGGGATGAGTTAGGCTTAAAACCCACCTTAACCTCACCCTACAAGCTGGTTTTGTGAGGTTGAGTTAGGCTTAAAAACTCACTTTCTAATATGGTTAGAGCCATGGTTAAAACCCACTACTAATAACAATACAGTATAATTTAAAAATATATCAATAAAGATGCACCAAAAATTAATATCATTACTTTTCTTTTCATCTATATGATCCTTACTCAATCTTTTCATGTTTGCTGTCAAGACAATTATATCGGCACCAAATTTTAATTAAATATGATTAAATTAAGAAGTTACTCCCTACGTCACTCCACAATTAATTCTTTCTACACCATCACATTTTTTAAAAATTTTAAAACAATTTTTTATATTTCAAAAAATCCTACATTCCACTTCTTTTCTTTAATAAATTCTGAAATCCATTGAAAATTCAAAATTTATTAAAGAATTTTTTAAGCTTTTAATAAATTTTGAAATCTGTTGAAGTTTTCAAAAAATCTTTCAACAAATTTCAAAATTTCTTAAAAAGTTATTTTTCAACAAATTTCAAAATTTCTTAAAAAGTTATTTTTCAACAAATTTTGAAATTTGTTAAAAAGAATTTTGAAAATAAATTTTAAAATTTGTTTAAGAAAACTTCAAAACTTTTATTAGATTTTGAAATTTATTGAAGAAGGACATTTTTGAAAATTTTGAAATGTGAGGATGCAAGCAGAAAACGTGGAGATGTGCAAGGAATAATCCTCCTAAATTGATTTGGGAGGCCCATCTGGGAGGCCCTGGTTACAGAATTGCTTACCTCCTTTTATAGAAACTTTATCAAAGTAAACTAGTTCTTCATAGATGTGATAAGAAAGATAAGGAATTTCAGTCAACTTTCTTCACTTTAACTTCAATCTTTGACCTTCCTATCCTTAATATTAACTGTTTGATATATAATATATTAATTAAAATTTAATAGCGAAGGTAGCAGATGCCTAACTGAAAATTTCAATGGCAGTGAGACTCTTTTTTAGTAAAAAAGCTAATGTTTCGATGTTGAATATCAGGAATGTTCGTACCTTCAAAATTTGTCGTAGAACATTGATACGTGTATATTTATATCATATTTTAAATTTAATTCCAAATTTTTATATAATTATTGTGTTTAAATAATTAATTTGAATAAGGATTTATAACATTTAAATTTATCGATTTTGACAATTAAAAGTCTTAAAAAGTTATTTGTAGTTACGTAAATTTGAACAGGAATATTTTGAGGTATCTTAGTGTAGTTACATATAAATTGAGACTTCATTGATATGTATAAATAAATTGGTTAAAGTTTGATAAAAATAACAAATAATCAACTCCACGTACAGTCAATCTTAATATATCATGGAAAAAAATGAAGAAATTTAGCTAAAGTAAAAAAAAGATAAAAACAAAAAAATTACTACTTCGGGACATAAATGGTTTATTTTAACTGTAATCAAAATGTGTATGTTATATTTCATTCATAATCTTTCTTAAATTAATAATGGATCTTTCATTTTTTTTAATAATTTCTGTAATTTTTTTATTTGCTTTAGGTTTGAAGTTAAAAGTTGTAAGTGTTTAGATTCTTAGAGTCCTAGCTTTGTAATTGTTTCCATATATTTCAAATTAATTTTAAGATAACAAGTTAATTTACATAAAGAGTATAACATTAACTTTAAATTAAAGTAAATTAACAAGTTATAATTTACTTTAATATATTTAAAAGTTAATGTTAGAATAGAATATTTGACTAAAGATGATATCTTAACCTCTTGTTTATTTCTAATTAAAGTAAAGAATTGGTACACCAAATTTACACTTATACTTTATTCTTAGAATTTGAAACTAATTTTGGCCTTGGATCGAGCCATATCATATGTTAGACTTTAGAGTGCTTATCTATAGCGCTTAAACTTTAGATAGACTTTGGATTTGATTTCTTTGAAAATCAAGGTTTGGGTTAAGATCTCCCATTTCATATTGTTCGATTTCACTCTAGATCAAGTTCTATGATTGTTATCTACTGCAGTGGATGTGAAAAAAAAAATAATCAAAGTGAATGTCATATTTTTCACGCATTATGTCGTACACCTATAATAAAACTACAGTATTTAATATATAGTATTGTTTGAATTTAACATTTTATTAAAGTAGATAAGAAAAAAAATACTGATATTATTTATATTTAGATGATTTTTTTTATCTTTAATAAAATTATATATTATCCAATTATTGAGTTTTAAAAATATGATTTAAATAAAATAGATAGGATAGCATTCATCTTTTACTAGGCTTTGTTAATTTTATTTTTGACAAAATTACACTAATAGTAATTCTTGAATTTTAAAAAATATTTAATGGACAGGATATAACAAGTATTTGGATTAGTTAAAAAAATTGTTGTGTGATTCAAAATTTGAGATGTCGATAAAATTTAACTTCTTTTTCTATTCAAAAATTTGTTGTGACTAAAAAATTGACTGAAATGACCTAATTCTTATAAGAAATTGTGCAGTTGACCGGTATTAAAACATTGCATCTTGGAGTAACCAGCTAGCTATTTCACGTATCCTACAGATGAAAGTAGAAAATATCTCAGAAGTGTCATAAATGGCATCAAATGCTGCTGTTGAACGTACACATAAAAAGGTTATTTTTTAGTTAAGATGCACGTCCCATTTTATTTGTTTTTCCAAGTTTAGGTTGAATCGAAATTATTCATTCATACAACTGTTAGCAATATATGAATTCAAAAACTCTAGATAAAATTCCCTTACACCGTCCATTGCATTCTTCAAACTCAAACATTTGTTAGGTAGAAAAATAGATTTCATATATACTTGTTCTGTCAGTTCATAAAAATCAGTTCTTCATAATTGCACTCTCTGATTGCAATTTCCATCAAGTTACCAGCATTAGAGGGCAACACATCACAACACTGCCGTCTTCGGGTCTGCAGTTTAATTAAAAAATAACACTTTATAATTAGTAATATTAATTATATATTACGAATCAATATAAAATCATGTTCCTGATTTTATTTACCTGTTTGCTGTCATGGTGTAACTCATTTGTCACCACTTTGATCACTTCCAGTTTACTCATTGATGAATTGTATGAACAATTTTGAAAATGTCTCTTGTAACTGCTTATGCTACCATATTTGGCAGAAGACACTTCATCTAGGTAGAAAATGGTGGGTCTTTTACATGGGTCATGGTGAAATTCTCTTGTGTTGAAATTATATATTCCTTTAAAAACATTTCCTGGCAACCATTGTCTGAATGTTTTCTCCACTCTCAAAACCTCTGGCAAAACCATGTTGTTCTGGAACACTTGAACAGCATAGCCCCATGAAACTGAAATTGTCCATGACAACCTCTTTTCGTAACAAACCGTTTGTTGCAGGATCCTCTCGGAATCGACACGAACAGCTTCGAATAAACGTTGCAGTGATTTTTCGGTTGGCATGTTGGGGAAGATAGGATCAGTGTGATCTGGGTGATGTAAGGACAATAAGGGAGTTAACGGATGAGAAGCCAAAAGGCCAAAGATATTTCCCCGCAAATCGACCTAATCCAATTCCATAATCACATAAACAGAGGACTAATCAGAAGCACAAAGAAGAAAAGAAAATCACCAACAACATTTAGCATTTCAACCTAGTTGTTACCTGATGAAAACCTGGTTCATGTGTTAATCCGACACCTAGTTCAGTTATGCAAGAGTAGACCCTAGCATCGCTTCCATACAGATGTGGATACCTTTGTATGCATGAATCAAGAACCTTGGCTAGGACTTGTGCTAGGGAGGAGCTGATGGCAAAACCACCTCCACCGAATGCCATTCCAAAACCAAAAACCTGGGTGGCATCATAAATCTCTGAGGTTGACCCAACATAGTACCAAAGCCTGTGGTCGTATTTGGAAAGTGTTTTGAGCAGATTGTGAGGGAAGAAAATGGTGTCATCATCCCCAAACACATACCATCTAACACCAGAATGGTTCAGTGCCACGATCTCTTTCACAATACGTGTCAAACGGATTGCTGAGCGTAGACCACCCCTGTAAGTGTAGAGAAACTTGGAAGTGTCTTCAGAGACACAGAGAGGAGGAAGAGAAGCATCGTTGTTGGCATTTTCTCCATGTGGAAGGGTATCTACGAAAACACATCCTCTCATGGTTTTATTGGGTATGCTGTTCCACCATAGCTTTGTGTATTGCTTCCTCCGAAACCATGAATTTCCGGTTGAGGCAATTCCAAATACAAGATGATCAACGGTAGTAGGATCAGACTGTGACACTTGTGGTGAATAACTCACTTCTATTACCTTTGTTTTGGCTAGGATTAGCACTGACACGCAGATTGAAATGGTAAAAAATGAAGAACAGACTAAAATTAATTTAATCAGAGTTTGGGTTTTGATTTGCTTCTGAAAGGACTCCATGATTAATGAGATGTAGATGTGCGAATGGAGATTATTATATTGTTAGAAACATTTATTTTTTCAATTAGTTAGGCTTTATTAGGCCATGATTTAATTGATTTTGATTTTTTTCTTACTGACCGTGAAAAAGATAATCAACTCTTTCTTTCTTCGTCATGTCATTATTTACCCAAACTTAAGAAATATGGACTTTTTTACTTAATATAAAAATATATCATGGTTAATTAATGAGTAAATCTTAATATTTTTATTCAAAAACATGTTAAATAAGAAGAAAGGTCAGTAATGGTAATAAAGAGAAATAGTCTTTAAGTCTTTTCTAATGAATAAATTATATTGTATATTAATATTAGAACACATATATATTAAAATATTTAAGTTGTTTTAACTCATACAAAAAGTCGCTAATATATAAATTTATTGGAGAACATGACTTTTCAACATGTTTTTAATGAGAATAACAAAATTACTTATATTATTTTTATATTAATCATATAACATTATATTTCCTAACTTGTAGAAATAAAGTAAACAATATTCACGTAAATCAATCAATGAAAAAATAAAATAACAAAATTTTAATATATTAAAAAAATTTAATACTCACTCTAAAAAAATTGAACAGAACTTAATTAATTAAAAATGCTCTAATTTATCAAGAACGTAGCATAATATCAAGTCTTTATTTTATTATCTCACCGGTGTACCTTCTACAAGAATTAATTATCTCTTATATACATACACACACACACACACACACACACACATATATATATATATATATATATATATATATATATATATATATATATATATATTAAAATATCAATAATAATTTATATAAATATTCAAATATAATAATTATGTAATTTATTTAATTGCTGTAATGAAACTTTAAATGTCAAACAAAAAATGTAACGGAATTAAAGTTGACAAAAGTACATATTGGACTATTAAATTTTAGGCACACCAAAATAATCAATTTATTTGCACTCAAGTCAAATCCAAGAAATGCAAGCTAAAACAATGTATCAGATTTATTTAGTTCAATATTATTAATTAATCTTATTTTATACACTTGTAAATTTAAATAAATCTTGAAAGAGTCTGTATTAGTAAAGTGCGTAATATTTATTTAAAATGTCTATTGTATTATACATCAAAAACTTAAACAACAAACAAAATTATAAAACACTTTATTAATACGCTTAAATGTGTTTTCATCTGAGACGTAACTATAATAATTATTGTATTTTATATGAACTAAAATTATGTTATATATAAATTAATTTGTAAAAAAGTCATATAACTTTAATTTAAATACAATTTAATTTTAATTCATAAAGAGACTAGTTTCATTTTTACGCTAATTCACTACAAGCCTAATATTATTTAATATACTACTAAAAACACAAATTAAGAAAAAAAAAGTAATTTGATTAATTTTGTAATTAATTTGATTGCAAATGAAAGAGTTATTTTCATGAAAAAAAAACAATGTGGTTGCTAACAGCGTAATGTATACTTGGATTTCAATTAAAAGTATTGTTAAGACTGAATTGATAAGAAGCTTGTATCTATCATGATGGTACCACCACAATCATCATTGTTAGTTATGAATGGTTGGATTATCCGTCAAACTGATCAGTTTTATAGAAGGTCACTCGAATCATAACACTAGTGGAACTAAAGGAAAAAGAATAACACACAATGTAAAGAAAGCTTTGAAAGATGAGATTGCATCCTCTTTTGGGCTGGCTTTGAAACTAATTAAGCAAGTAAAAGGGTTATGTTTGTATGTCGATCTTTTTACTTTGTCTTTTCATTGATTTTAGTCTATCTAAAATCAACCATTGGCCAAACAAGATGCTAAATTGAATCAAATTTTGTAAAAAACACTACAAGAAAAATGGTGATTATCCACCGATAATTACATACGGATTTTGATTCGTATGTAACATAAAGATTACATACGGATATTATATACGGATCCTGAAAAAAGAGTTATATACGGATTTTTCATATATAAAATTCGTATGTACTTTGACTACTTGGTGGCGGGAGAGTTTTCTGGGGCGGGAGAGTTTTCTGGGGATAACATCCGTATGTAAGTGCTATAATGCGTACGTAAGTAAAAGCAAATGTTGTTTTACTGGAAATTAATTATTTTAAAAAAAATTGAAATTATATTTCATTAATTTGAAGCTGGTTTGGTAGAACAGAGGTGTGTTTACTCAAATCTCTCTGCAACCCTAACTTTAACTCTCCACTCTCCTTCTCTATTTTCACTTTCATATACAGAACCACTTCCGAATCTTATGGTTTCATCATCCTCTTCACTTTCCCTTCATTTTTAACCGATTAAAACCACTTTTCTACTGATTAAAACCCTTTCTGCCATTTGTTCTTCGATTTCCACCGATTAAACCTCCATTTGCGCCAGTTAAACACTTTTGTACCGATCAATCTTGTGTTTGAACCGATTAATCGGTTCATTTTATGTTTCTCCCCATTTTTAGGGTTCCTTCGGTCCAGATTAGGGTTCTTTCTCCATTTTGGAGCTTTCCCGCAATCGTTCTGGCTTCTATTCATTCGTTTAGGGTTTTTTAACATTTTCTTCCAATCATTCTCCATTTCGCTTTCGATCTCGAGTTCGTCTCATTATTTCGCTGCGTTTTCTCATCAAGGAAGCTTCGAAGGAGTTCGAGTCGAGTCCGCATCGTTCTTTTGGTCATCTCCTTGGAGGCTCTTTCGTCAAGTGGCCGCAAAATCAATCACACCCGACGACGTTTCAGCGCTCCTTCGAGCCTGCTACTCTTTTGAAACCCAAAGAAGAGGTTGGATTGAAGACTGAAGGTGCTGTAGGGATTGTTTTGAACCAAAAGCAAGAAGTGGTGACAAAATCTGCTGTGGAGATTCTAAACGATCAACATAGAAAGTGAGCAGTATTCTTGTGTTCTTGTTTCATTTTAAACCGTTGCGAGATTTAATGGTTTTTCATTTTGATTTCTTTTAAAAAAATTTCCCTCTTTTATTTTAGTTCGGCTCCTGTTGCACGCTTGGCAATGACGCGTAGGGTGCGTCCTCTCGTTTCATGAAAGTGGGGTTGATCAATTAGTAGAGATAATCAAGGTACATTTTCTTTTGCTCTTTAATATCTGGTCCTCATGTTTCGCCTCATGAGCTTACTTTTCAAAGTTGCAGTCTGTTTGTTTCTTTCTTCAATCTCAGCTTTTATTTTATACCTCAATGTTTCCTAGAAAGTATCAAATTTTTGTGGTTCACTCTGTATCATAGTCTAAATCTGAAGCCATTTGCATTGTGATTCACTCTGTTTTACTATTCGATATAGGAGTAGATTAATCCATTATACTTTAAAATAGTTGTTCATTATGGTGTTCACTTTAAATATTCATTAAAGTATTACTAAGATTTGATATTAAAGAGCATGTTTTCGAATACATGTCTAATCAAAGAAAAGTATTATTTGGATTGATGTATTCCGTGATTTGGTTTATACATTCTTTTGCCATAGGAGTTTATAGCTTCCATATATTAAGGCCATGGCTTAGCTAATGCTGTGTTTGACCCTTACAATCTATTATAATGTCAGGCTCCATAGTTTAACCACATTCTTAGATAGAATTGAATTCTATCTTATTTATAAGAATTTTATGCCAAACCGTGCCTATTATTTTTACGATGACCATCTTTAGAGTTCAGTTGCACATAATATATATTAAAGCTTAATAGAGTATATATATATATATATATATATTATATATATATATATATATATTAAAATATCAATAATAATTTATATAAATATTCAAATATAATAATTATGTAATTTATTTAATTGCTGTAATGAAACTTTAAATGTCAAACAAAAAATGTAACGGAATTAAAGTTGACAAAAGTACATATTGGACTATTAAATTTTAGGCACACCAAAATAATCAATTTATTTGCACTCAAGTCAAATCCAAGAAATGCAAGCTAAAACAATGTATCAGATTTATTTAGTTCAATATTATTAATTAATCTTATTTTATACACTTGTAAATTTAAATAAATCTTGAAAGAGTCTGTATTAGTAAAGTGCGTAATATTTATTTAAAATGTCTATTGTATTATACATCAAAAACTTAAACAACAAACAAAATTATAAAACACTTTATTAATACGCTTAAATGTGTTTTCATCTGAGACGTAACTATAATAATTATTGTATTTTATATGAACTAAAATTATGTTATATATAAATTAATTTGTAAAAAAGTCATATAACTTTAATTTAAATACAATTTAATTTTAATTCATAAAGAGACTAGTTTCATTTTTACGCTAATTCACTACAAGCCTAATATTATTTAATATACTACTAAAAACACAAATTAAGAAAAAAAAAGTAATTTGATTAATTTTGTAATTAATTTGATTGCAAATGAAAGAGTTATTTTCATGAAAAAAAAACAATGTGGTTGCTAACAGCGTAATGTATACTTGGATTTCAATTAAAAGTATTGTTAAGACTGAATTGATAAGAAGCTTGTATCTATCATGATGGTACCACCACAATCATCATTGTTAGTTATGAATGGTTGGATTATCCGTCAAACTGATCAGTTTTATAGAAGGTCACTCGAATCATAACACTAGTGGAACTAAAGGAAAAAGAATAACACACAATGTAAAGAAAGCTTTGAAAGATGAGATTGCATCCTCTTTTGGGCTGGCTTTGAAACTAATTAAGCAAGTAAAAGGGTTATGTTTGTATGTCGATCTTTTTACTTTGTCTTTTCATTGATTTTAGTCTATCTAAAATCAACCATTGGCCAAACAAGATGCTAAATTGAATCAAATTTTGTAAAAAACACTACAAGAAAAATGGTGATTATCCACCGATAATTACATACGGATTTTGATTCGTATGTAACATAAAGATTACATACGGATATTATATACGGATCCTGAAAAAAGAGTTATATACGGATTTT